ACTCTTTTCAGATCTGGGAAATTGTCTTCTTTTATTTCTCTGGATTTGTCTGCCTGTCTGCGTTCTCTGCTCCCTCTCTCAGGAATGTCATCGGTTTCCTAGACATGATCATCCATGTCTCTCAGCCTTTCCCTTTTACTTACCTTCACTTAGCTTTGCTGATCTTCTTTCTAAGAAGTTTTCTCAAATTTATCCTTTGGCCTTTATATTGGATTTTTTTTTTTTTTTTTTTTTTTTTTGGTTCTTCGGGCCTCTCCCTTTTTTGGCCTTTCCCTTTGCGGAGCACAGGCTCCGGACGCGCAGGCTCAGCGGCCATGGCTCACGGGCCCAGCCCCTCCGCGGCATGTGGGGTCCTCCCGGACTGGGGCACGAACCCGTGTCCCCTGCAGCGGCAGGCAGACTCTCAACCACTGCGCCATCAGGGAAGCCCTATATTGGATTTTTTTAAATTAAGCAAACATATAATTTTAATCTACCATGGTTCTTGGCACTATGATTACTATGGTTTAATGCACTATGGTTCTCTGAGTGCTCATTGTCACGGCAGGGTGTTTTCGTCTTATGGATGCAAGGTCATCACACATCTCCAGGGATATTAATTGGTTTTTGCTTCTCCCAGTGCCACTTATTCTATTTGTTCATATTGCTCCTTCTTTCATGTGTTATGGTTTTTCCTTAAGTTTCTGATCATCCTAATTAGATAACCTGCATTATGGAATTATTGTTCATTTGCTTAGGTGTGATGATAGTACTGTGCTTTTGTAAGAAAATGTCCTTATTTTAGAAAATGAATGTCGAAGTTTTTAGGGATGAAGTGTCTGATGTCTGCAACTTTCAAATGGTTACACACACACACACAAATATGTGTATAAAGAGAATAAGAAAGAGACCACTTAAATATAGCAAAATGCTAACATTTGGAAGTAGAAAACATGCGCAAGTGTTATTGCACTAGTCTTTCAATTTTCTCTTGAAATTTCTGTTTGAAATTTTCAAAAGTTGGAAATAATAAGAAAAACAAAACAAAATATCTGAGTATCATTGGGAAAATACCCCTAGGGGCCTGAAATCCCTAAGGAATCAGCTTTCTTACAGGAAACTAGATACATGCTTGGCTTTTAAGCAAGTCAGGCTGTAGGTCATTTGCATTTTCGCATATATGCTCTTGGAGTAATAAACAATGTATGCAAAGCCTCTGACTGACATTCCTTAGGAAATCTGTGGATTAAGAAGGGACCTGTCCTAAGGTACCTCTAATGAAGCAAAAGAAAGTTATAATGGGATTTCATGGGTGTAGGCAGTAATTGGATTTGGTGGAGGGTGTAATTAAATTTCACCAAGGGCCTACAACCTCTGCCCCAGGAAAATAATGAAAGGGTCAGAAGACCTTCTATCTTGCTTAAAGGGAAATATATAAAGCCTGCAGAAACTCTGAAGCATGTGCCTGCTCTGTCCACATCTCCTCAATCATGGGACAGCAGCTCTAGTATCTTCAGGATCGCTAAAGAATCCCACCTTCAGGCAGAGGGTTGAAAGCCCTGTAATGGAAGAATGCTATGAAAATTACTGACCAGTTTCTGTCTCCTGGTCTCCTGAAATTTCTACTTCTGCTTCGATAAGTGGAATCAAAACAGAATCCAGCCCAGAGAGGGATAGCCTCCCCAACGTGGGCTGATTCCAACACTCAAGTGGAAGGCCAGGTTGACCAGTGGAGGGTAGCTAGCGCCACCTTCTCCACCATTGGGTGGATGCCAGGCAGTCTGAAAGCTCTGGGTACAAAGCAGGGCATGTCAACTGTAGGTTTCCTGGTAGGCTGTGTCAACTGGCAACAAGCAGGCAGGCTGCCCCCACTCCTTCCCCAGCAAATCTCAGTCTCTCACCCCAGGAGACTAAGCCCTCCCTGGGCAACCAAAGTGTCCTTCCTACTGTAGGTTTCCAGAGCTGTGGTAGATGCTACTGCTATAGCCAAGTTCTCTGATGTGGGGAGGATGGCTGTCCTGCCATCAGACAAGCCTTCAGAGAAATGCCTGGCGCTCTGCCCCAATCCCTCTCCTGCTCTCAATCCCTGTGACTCAGCGTCTCTCCAGAGACATCCAAAAGAAACAACTCCAACTTCCATCATTGTTCCCTTGAGCTCATCCATCAATTCCATCCCATCTGCTTCCCATTCTCCAGAAATTTATCAAACTCCTTTGTCTTCTGATGGCCCCTCTACCACTGTCAATGCCCCTGCAGATCTGTTCCCCTCTATTCTTTCTTCTAGTTATTTCAAAAGGATTGAAGAGGAAAGAGCTGCCTTGTTGGTGTTCATGCCATGATCTCGAACCAGAAGTCATCCCCTTGGTTTTTAATCCTCTTATCTATGGTGCAGTGTCTAAGGATCTTCTCTCCTTCTAATTCTGGATGTTGTGGGAATGCTTCCCCACTCACCACCACCTTTAATCTTTCATTTTCTTAGCAATAAAATCAGGAAGGGCATCTGCCTTATCTTAGAGCACCACTGCGGAAGAGTTAACACAGAAGGCCTGAGACTGCTATTCTTGGAAGGGTGTGCTTGCAAGGATGCCCTTGGCTGGCATCTGGGAACCTGGATTTGGGGAGGGTTCCCATAATTCTGTGACTGACAAGGGTGGCTCTCTGTGCCTAAACACTTTGTGCAAACAATACGGTTTGTGCTGAACACCTGTTTTCTGTCTGAAAATCTGGAATTCTAATATGTGCTAGGCAGAGGGTACCTATGTGACCAGCCTCCAGTAAAAACCCTGGATGCTGAGTCTCTGATGAGCTTCCTTGGTAAACAGCGTTTCACATGTGCTGTCACAATTCACTGCTGGAAGAATTAAGCATGTCCTCTGTGACTCCACTGGGAGAGGAGTCTCATCCATGAATAATTGTCAAAACTGGTGTTCTTTGGGGGAAAGATGGCAGAATATGCCTCTTCCACCATTTTGATGATGTCTTAGAATAAGTTTGTCTATGTCTACAAAAAACTTTGTTGTGATTTTATTACATTATATAAATTATATAATGTAATATGTAATCTCATTATATAAATATAGACAGATAGATCAGTTCTGGCAAAATGGACATCTTTCCTGTGCAGAGTCATCCAATCTGTGAATATGTTTAGCATGCCTCTCCGTTCACTTAGGACTTCTTTGATTTCTTTCAACAGCACTTTGTAATTTCCAGCATAAAGACCCTATACATGGCTGTTAGATTTACACCTATGTATTTTGTTGTCTTTGAAACAATTGTAAATGATATTATATGTTTAATTTCAGTTTCCACATGTTCCTTAATGGTATAGAGAAATCTGATTGATTTTTGTGTACTGATCTTATATCCTGTGGTCTTGCTGAACTCACTTATTAGTTCTAGAAGTTTTCTGCAGATTCTTTGGATTCTCTATGTAGACAATGATGTAATTTGCAAATAAGAACAGTTTTCATTTCTTTCCCTTTTAATCCCTATGTATTTTGTTTGTTTTTTCTTGCCTGACTGCCCTCACCATGACTTCCAACTCCATGTTGAGCAGCAGTGGCACCAGTGGACGTCCTTGACTTATATCTGATCTCAGGGGGAAAGCACTCACTGTTTCACCATTAAGCATGATGCTAGCTACAGTTTTTTGTGGATACTTTTTTATCCACAAGTTGCAGAAATTCCCCTCTATTCCTAGTTTGCCGAGAGAGTTTATCAAGAACCATTGTTGGATTTGGTCAAATGCTTTTTCTGTGTAAACCAACATGATCATATGATTTTTTTTCTTTTTCAGTCACTTGATATGATGGATTACATTGATTGACTTTTGAATGTTGAAGCTGCCTTGTATACCAGGAATGAATTCCACTTCTTCATGGTATATAATTCATTTTATACACTGCCAGATTTAATTTGTTAAAATCTTATTGAGGATCTTTGTATCTAAGGTCATGCAAGTTTTTGATATGTAGCTTCCCCTTTTTTGTACTCTCTACTTTTGGTATCAGAGTAATACGAGCTGTATGAAACCGAGTTAGGAATTGTTTCCTTCTCTTCTATTTTCTGCAAGAGATTGTGTAAAACTCTTCTTTAAATGTTTGATGGAATTCTCCAATGAAACCTAGACCTGAAGCTTTCTTTGTATTATTATTAAACATTAAATTTCTTTTCTATTATAGGACTACACAGCTTGTCTATTTCAAGTGGCTGCATTTGGGTCTTTGTGGTTTTTGGGGAATTGGTAATTTCTTCTAAGTCATCAAATTTATTAATGCAAAGTTATTTTCTAGTATTCCCTCATTATTATTTTAGTGGCTGCAGGATATCTAGTTGTATATCTTTTTTCATTCCTAATACTGGTTGTTTGAGTCTTCCTATTTTTTGTCTTTGTCATTCTTGCTAGGGAGTTAACAACTTTATTGATTCTTTTCAAAGAATCAGCTTTCTGTTTCATGGATTTTCCACCTTTTTCAATTTCATTGATTTGTGCTCTTTTCTTTGTTAGTCTCTTTTTTATGCTTGGTTTATGCTTATTTTGCTCCACTTTTTTATTTTCTGGAGGTGGGAACAAAATTTTTGATTTGAGACATATTCTCTTTTCTAAAGTAAGCATTTAATGCTATAAATTTCCCTCTAAGCATTGCTTTATCTGCATCCAACATTTTTTGATATGTTATGTTTTCATTTTCATTCACTCTATGTATTTTAAATTGGACCTTACAAACTCTTTGGGAATAGCCTTCCCAGTAGAATCTATATGACTCCATATGTACAAGAATTAGTTTTCTTAAGCCAAGAAGATATAGTTCAGCATCAAAGATCAGCTAGGAAATAAATTAATTAACACCCCTTCAATTCAACTACTGCAAAAATCAAGTGCTTAAGGGAAAAACACCTGCCAATTAAGTGAAGACATCAGACGAAGATAAAACATATAAAGCATTTCAGATTTCTGGATAACTCTTGATCTTGAAAATTATGCTGTTTAAAAAGAATAAATATTTACCAAATCTTACCTGCAGCATTACAACACTGTCATCTTCAAAAGTTACAAACATATCTGTGTCACATTTTAAGCCTGAGATTCGGTTTTCCATCATGTAACCCTATTGCAAAAAAAAAAGAAAAGAAGCAGATTTTAAATTTGCAGTCCCATCATTATAAAGGACTAACATTTTCTTTGAAATTAAATACACACAACTGAAAGAAAAGAAAATAACTCTAGTTCTCCTACCCAGAATAGCCATTCTAAGAATTTTGACCCATCCCATGAGCTTTTGGTCCATAAATATTATTTGAGGGTATGGCCTTTGTTGGTAGTAAAAACATTTGAAAACAGTCATGTCACATTTTTGCAAAATATTTCAACAAATTATGCTAATTTTTTCTCTTTCTCGTCCAAATCTTATGAATTCGAATAAATGTCAAGGTATTTGTGATTACACCCCACAATATGCAGGAGAATGATGCCTCCCCCACCCAAACCCTTTTTTAATTAGTAAATATACCTATGATTCCTGGGAGGCAACATAAAAAATCCTAGATTGCCACTCTGCCTCTTCATGTCATTAAATATTCTGCATCATAAATATACACTCCAGCTTCCACCTAGTTTTTTACTTTTTTCTTTTCTCACTTCCTGAAATCCTTATTTAAATGGCGGTAGCCTGCTGCTCCTTTCCAAAGTGGTGAAGTGTTTCTGCACACACACTGGGAGAATCAGCTGCTCCAGAGAAAGCTGATCAGCCCCAGGCCAGACGTGGAGGGAGCAGAGTTGCCCGCGTTTGGCCACAGGCCCTTCCCCCTCTCAAGGTCTCTGTGCTCTCTTTCTTCCAGCCCATTGTCCTCCCCCTTAACTCTCAGAATCCTTCCCACTCTCAGAATCTGCTTCCAAATCAGCCCTACCATGTAAGTTACATCACAGGCGGCTGTCGCATCCCTTCTCCCAGGAGTATGTGCACTTAGCACTTTGGCTCTGTCTAGGAATGACAAGATTCAGCCCCTGTTGGGATTTTCAAGCCACATGGGCCAGGGAGGGTCACACACGGTGCTCCCGTGGGCAGCCGTATACTCCAACCTCAAGGTACCCATTATCCTTGGGGTACCTCCTTCATTTCTGAAAACGGCCACTTGAGTCACAGAAGTGGGCACTCCGGGTTCCCACTGCCTGCAGAGCCTGAAGTCCTGTGAGCATCCCTGCTTTCCTGTCCCGGAAACATCCTCTGATGCCCCGCTGCTTCCCCTGGTCCGCCTCTGCATCACGGCAGTCCGGGCAGGCCCTCTGCACGGTGTTAGTTTACAGAAGCAAAGGCATCTTCACAAACCCTCAGGAATCCTTCATAACTTTCATAAAGGTAAACTGATTATATTTATGGAAACAGAAATTGGTGGCATTTCCAGCCTGGAGAAGTTCAGCCTTGCCTCCCCTCCCCCATCATAACCACAGGGTAAACCCCCTCATTCCCGGGCAAACCACATGAGATCAGGTTCTGACTGTGATCAGGCCCCAGAGTGTTTCCCCTGCAAGGGAGTAGCTGACTCACTTTCACCATCAGCATTCTACCATTTATCGAGTATCTGCCACAAGCCAGATACTGAGCTGGGTGCTTGACCCAGACTTCGTTTTATTATTTCACTTAATCCTTTTCCTCCCCTCAATAGCCCTGTGAGGTAGGTGTTACCCCATTTTACAGATGAAGAGAGCAAGGCTCAAGGGCTATGTTGGAATGTTTTTGAATAACCCCTCAAGTTCTGGTACGAAAAAGATGAACATGAGACCTACCACCTCAGACTTGGGAAGAAGCTGTTATATATAAGAAGCACACCTGCTAAAGGCTCAAAATAATAATTTTGAAGAAATAAAGTACTTTTTCCTTGATCATTTTGCTCTGGTCTCTTCCAGCAAGAGAGGGAGAAACAGGTTCTCTGTTGTTCTGACATTTTTGAACTGTTCACACCCTGCCCTGGAAACCAGGCCATCAGGGATTTAAAATAACCCAAGCAATGACTCACTCAAAAAGCAGCAGAGTGGAAGAGCTTCAAAATGGCGGAGAAGTAAGACGTGGAGATGACCTTCCTCGCCACAAACACATCAGAAATACATCTACACGTGAAACAGCTCCTACAGAACACCTACTGAACGCTGGCAGAAGACCTTGGACCTCCCAAAAGGCAAGAAACTCCCCATGTACCTGGGTAGGGCAAAAGAAAAAAGAATAAACAGAGACAAAAGAATAGGGTCGGGACCTGCACCAGTGGGAGGGAGCCGTGAAGGAGGAAAGGTTTCCACACACTAGGAAGCCCCTTTGCGGAAGGAGACTGTGGGAGGCGAAGGGGGAAAGCTTCGGCGCCGTGGAGGAGAGCGCAGCCACAGCGGTGCGGAGGGCAAAGCGGGGAGATTCCTGCACAGAGGATCGGTGCCGACCGGCACTCACCAGCCCAAGAGGCTTGTCTGCTCACCAGCCGGGGCGGGCGGGGCTGCGAGCTGAGGCTCGGGCTTCGAAGGTCGGAGGTCAGATCCCAGGGAGAGGACTGGCGGTGTGAACACAGCCTGAAGGGGTTAGTGCGCCACAGCTGGCCAGGAGGGAGTCCGGGAAAGTCTGGAGCTGCCGAAGAGGCAAGAGACGATTGTTTCGGGGTGCGCGAGGAGAGGGGATTAAGAGCACCGCTTAAAGGAGCTCCAGAGACGGGCGTGAGCCGCGGCTAAAAGTGCGGACCCCAGAGACGGGCATGAGACGCTAAGGCTGCTGCTGCCGCCACCAAGAAGCCTGTGTGCCACCACAGGTCACTCTCCACACCTCCCCTCCCGGGAGCCTGTGCAGCCCGCCACTGCCAGGATCCCGAGATCCAGGGAAAACTTCCCTGGGAGAACGCACGGCGCACCTCAGGCTGGTGCAACGTCACGCCAGCCTCTGCCGCCGCAGGCCCGCCCCGCACTCCATGCCCCTCCCTCCCCCCCGGCCTGAGTGAGCCAGAGTCCCCGAAACAGCTGCTCCTTTAACCCTGTCCTGTCTGAGCGAAGAACAGACGCCCTCAGGCGACCTACACGCAGAGGCGGGGCCCAATCCAAAGCTGAACCCCGGGAGCTGTGCAAACAAAGAAGAGAAAGGGAAATCTCTCCCAGCAGCCTCAGGAGCAGCGGATTAAATCTCCACAATCAACCTGATGTACCTGCATCTGTGGAATACCTGAATAGACAACGAATCATCCCAAATTGAGGAGGTGGACTTTGGGGGCAATGATATATTTATTTTTTCCGCTTTTTCTCTTTCTGTGAGTGTGTGTGCTTCTGTGTGAGATTTTGTCTGTATAGCTTTGCTTCCACCATCTGTCCTAGGGTTCTATCTGTCCGTTTTTTGGTTTTTTGTTTTTTTTTACTTTAAAAAAATTTTTTTTTCTTAATAATTATTTTTTTATTTTAATAACTTTATTTTAT